GTCGTTCCACATTCTTCTTTGTCCATTTGCCGTGGAAGGATGTTCGATGAGTCGATGGCCTTGACCAACTGCTATGGCGACGCGCATTTCCGGACCAGCGGCCGCGAGATCTTTCTTCGCTGTTCTCAGCTATTGGTAAGACTGATAAAAAACTATGTAGCTCGATGGAAAACTGGTAAAAATGTTCTCGATTTATCGATGCTACGAGGGAAATTATAATTTTACATTCGTTACTTATATTTCGCAAGTATATTTTTGCAAGCAACGGGGTAACTAGACAGAACGAAACGGAAGAAAAGTTGAAGAAAGAATTGAAACGTAAGTATAAAACAATTCAGTCTTTCTGTTTCTTATTTTTCTTATAATTTTTTCATTATAATACGGATAGCTGTATTTGTCACGCAGATATCATTTATTAATATTCATTCATATATTTGGATTTATATTTGGTCGGACGGATTTCAAAAGAGACCTCTTTCAGACTCTGGAAAGTGACAATTGCATTTAACTGCCGTGACAAATGGTGATCAGCAATAGTTTGAAGAGAAGGATACAAGCTATTCGTATCTTCGTCTCGTGCGATCACTTCCCGCTATCTTCACTTCTTCTAGCTCGAACGTGCCACTGGCACGCATGCGCAGCACATCGTGGCGCGACACGGTACGAATCTCACTTATCCTCGAAATTTTATTCTCGTTTTACACCGTCCGTGGGGAACGAAAGCTCGGCTTATAATTTCAATAAACAATCTAACGAATCGCGTGTACGCACTGTACATGGAGGTTTCAATATTTCTCAGTTTAAAAAGAACTGTCAGAAAATTACAATTGTCGTTGAATATTTTTTCCAAAAAAATTGGAACCTTCTGGATTTTTTTATAGATTGAAATTTTATTTGAATTGAATTTAAGAAATTTCACTCAAAATTGTGTTTGAGTTTCTCGACAAAAAAAAAGATTGTCGAGGCGCGATTTGACGCGGGACGGCTTGGTGGATGCCTTTGGTGGTGATGAGTACGGGACCGAAGAAGCAGGTGGCTCCTTATACACCATAGCACGGGTTCAATGTGTTCAGTTTTGCTATGACCGTCGACTGGTCACGAGATATCTCCGAGGCGGAACCCTTGTTTTGATACACGAGTACGGTTTGTTTCCGTGTCGAAGGAGAGAAGAAGAGAGCATTGGCTGCAATGGAATTTCGAACGCTCGTCGTGAGTCAGCGAACTACTTGTTTTTTTTTCTTATTTTTTTTTCCTCTTCTCGTACCTTCGCTTTTATTTTTTAACCAATATCAACTAATATTATTTAATTTCTATTTTATTATTACTTACCCTTTGGTACTTTCTTCTTGTAACAAATTATTTTTATGTACGATTATTTGGATAATTTTAACTATTTATATAACAAGCGAACGATAATATTTTTTTAACTGTTATTTATTAATTAATAATTATTATTTTTGTGAAATCAAAGTACGCCGAATATCGCTACGATCGATGTGCATTCTGTGCCAAAACCAGCGGGAAAAAGTTCGATAAGTTCGTTTCCTTCGCGCTAGCCGATGCTTATTATAGAAATGTCCCGTATTCAGTAATCACAGGGAACCGGTATAAAGTAATACCGTTACACAAATGCGTAATAAACGTCATGACAGGAAAAGTATACCTTTTCGTCTTTCTTTAATATTGTTCCTTGTCAATGGAATGCCAAATATATATATATATACATATATATATATATATATATGTATATAATGAAATATATATAAATATTAAATGTATGAATC